CGGAAAGTGTGGACCCTCTCCACACACTCCCCGTTGATGTAGAGGGGGGCCAAGTCGGTGCTGTGTCTCCTGAAGTCAACAACAAAAGTTTGTAGTTTGTAGTTGCACAACAAAATGAATATGGAACAGATCAGGACTGGAAACCATTTGGATGCAGTCATTTCCCAGTTCATTCGGCCCAGATCAGATACAGATCTGTTCATGTACAAGCTCATATGACCTGGATCCATTTTATATATTTTTATTTTTATAATTTAAATTTAAAAATGTAATTTTTTATGACTTTGTAAATTATTATCCAGGATATGCTTATTGGCTAATGACTTGTCAGTCAGATCCATCCTTTGCTTTTCACATCCAATTCCAAACACCACACTGTTATATAATGTATGATAATGGCTCACATAATAAAACATATAAATAAAGAATTTCTTGCCTCTGTTTGAATAGGAATGTTGATTTGTTAACATTATTATGGTAATACACATGTTGTTAAAGATATGATGGATAAAATAAACTTCCATCCACGCCAATCTCAATTCTATTCAAACTTTGTTGCCATATAGCAAACTCATTTTAAGAAATGCTAATTTGTATGTGCATCATAGAGGATAATTATGGGTTATAATCAAACCGCTTCCCAAAGAAACCTATGGTCACCTATCAAACAGCTCTTTTCTCTAAGCAATCACGCATTTCATTTTTAGTCATTATTATTTTTCCTTCCACTAAGCCTAATAGTGTGTCCAAATCACGTGACGTCCGCCTGCTTATTATTGCAATAACACTTTGTTTGCATAACAGTCACCCTTTTGTTCCTTATCATGGTAATTTCCGAGTGCACGGTTCACTACAGCTTTTAGGGGGCCGGCTCTGACGTCAGCCCGCCCTGCCGGACGGACACCAGCAGCACTACGCTGACTGGGTGCTGCTGACTATTAATATTCACCTTGTGAAACTATCCACAGTCAGTATATGCGGTCAGCGTTGTGCACAAAGACACGGCCACTCAGCGATACTTTTCCCAAACTGAAATCCCCTTCAGGGGAGGGAGAGAGAGAGAGAGAGAGACGGGGAGCGAGAGGGGACTGCAGAACACACAGGGTCTGGATGAATAACCATGGCAACAGCAGCAGCAGCAGGAGAAGCGATGATATAAACATTTACATCCGCGCATCCGTCCGCAAACAGCAATTCACTCCAGTAGAGGCTTGGACCAGAAACCCTCTGCGGATATCACTCCACATCAGCGCTAAGGTGAGGCTGTTTCATTCCTCATGTGACACCTTCCTCCTCTGCCTTTTGCTGGCTGGTTTGTTGTCTTCGGAACACGAGAGGATAGAGGGAAGCTCAGCTGTCATACATTACAACAGAGAAAGCTGCTTTCTGTAGTACACTGCTGCTCGGCGCCAGAGCTGCAAGGCTGACGGATTTGCTTAAAACACGGAGGCTAACGGGTTAAATTCATAGTCCATATGCGTTTCCTCTGTATGGCAGCTGAGGGTCTCTGTCTGACCTATTGCATATATGTGGTCACCACTGAGGAAACAAAACATTTAAGCCCACTCTACAGTGATAAGCTGAAGAAGCAATGGGGAAAATACATGTAGCTTTCAAAATAAAAGCATTGATAATTGTCTTTAAGCAAGCCACATACTACAGTGTGGTTTAATTTTGATAACTGGCAACTGTGTTTGGTGCAGCACTGGATTTCTTTAGATAACAAAGGATTTTTGTCAAAGCTGTCCCCCTGTAGGCTCAAATAGTGTAACACAAACACAGCAGAGACTGAAACTCGTGTGCATAAATGCTAAAACAGACATAACTGATGACATAAGGGCAAATAGTCTTCATTTAATAATGCTGCTCATGTACTAATGTGACAAATTCAGGGACTGGTGTAGCTGACTGATCTCAAAATGTCATTATAGAACATAACGCCGAGGTTAGAGTACTTTGAAACCAGTTAATCCAACACCGAGCATTCCATTTTAATGCCCATCTTCACACTTTTAACTAGTTTTTTCTTTGGACAACGTGACCAGCACTCGGTTTCCATACAAGTGAACAGTGCTTCAGAGTTGTGAATACAAATAGTACGTCTGTTTACAGATTGCATGCAGCCCTCCAAACGCCAGCAGAAAAGCCTTTTGATCTTCAGAGAATCTAATTTGGCGATTGCAACGATGCCAGTCACATCCTCTCAAAGTCATATTCTGATTCATTTAACTCCATAACTCGGCCCACTCCTCTCTCTTGTTCTCTTTCGTTTTTATCCTTTTTTTTTTGCAGGGATTTGGCGTAATATTGTAATTTAACAACAGAGAGCATAATACAGCATCATGGAGGGGTTTTAGCAAATGCTAGATTATGCCATCACATGATTGCTGGGCTGGCTCAGTGGATTTCTGTAAAGTGCCACTCCAGATAACCAATTTGCAGATAGCTTTCTCTCGAAATTAGAGATGGTGAAAATGATGGATTTGCTACAGCAACTGTGATTTGATACCCTTGCTTATAAGAAGGTGCTGTAACCTAACGGCCCTTTGTCACATATTTGGTGACAGCTTTTTGTTGTTGTGTGCTGGAGAGGGATGTGGATGTTAATCAGTGGAATAATGTCTGAGATTAATTTCCGGTTCTTTGAGCTATGTGCACATACAGCAGCTCATGGCAAACAATGGCTCTCTGTCTTACAGTGACATTTATGCCTGCTAAGCCTGCAAAAATGTGCTTATTTCACACGCAGACACTGTGAACGTGTTGCTTTTTCATCCGTTCTCAAATTGACACTGGAGATGTCATCGGTGGTCCCAGCTGAGCTGACGCCAACAGGAGCTGCAGCAAAGGAAAGAGGGCAGCTTAAGGACAACAAAAAGTTTTTAGGTTTTCCTTAAGGTGGTAGAATTAGCCAAGTTGTAAACTCTAGACCTCCAAGAATGCCAGAGTGTGTGGTGTGTTTGTGGCCTGCATTAAATAATAATAAGACAGCAGATGGGTGTTTTGCAACGATTAGTGTTTAATGATTTGCTTCTAGTAAGAAAGAGATAATTCACAAAATTGCACAAGCAGAAAATTCCAAGTGTAGTTTGGCTACAGGTTATGTAGAGATGTCTGGGAGCTGTGCTCGAACACAGTTAATTCAACAGTGTATTAAGGACATTTTATGAATGCAGGAATGTGTTTTTTACTTGTTATGTTAGTTGACATTGACCTGTTAATCATTCAGGCATAAAAGAGGCCTCCTAACTCAAAGGGTAAGCCAGGGTTGTGTCTACACATAACACACCTCTTAGCAAAGAACCAAATGTAAATTGTACCTTTAGGCACTTTGTCACTAGCAGCATGTTGCAAAAACTCAACATCTGTTCAATTTCTTTTGTCGAATCTACAAAACAAACAGACAAAAAAACCTGTTTAGTATTTGTGCACCAGCACACCGATTCCCAAACATGTATTATCTAAAAATTGGGCTTATAGCAGCATCGTGTGCAATGGGTTTATAAAAAAATTGAGGAAATTGAACAAATGGAAGAAAAAAGAAAGCTGTGAGTTCTATTTTCTGCAAAGAGTTATGCAAATCGAGCAGTTAATAAAATAAAACTCTGTTGTTGTACTATTTTCGGGTCTTTACCTTACAATATAAAGCGCCTTAAGGTGACTGTTGTTGGGATTTGGCGCTATATTAATAATACTGAACTGCATTGGAATTTTCTCTCATCCTTAAATGCCAGCATTTCAAGTTCAGTCCCACAGGCATCTACATTCAACTTATTCACTAATTTATTAATGCTGACGTAAAGGTACAGAGAATGCTTTAAAACAGGGGTGTCAAACTCAGATACACAGTGGGCCAAAATTCAAAACTGGAACAAAGTCGCAGGCTAACATTAATATTTATTGAAATATATTTATTCCTCCAGATACAAGAATGAATCTTTTCTTATGGACTCAAACACGTTTTGCTGAAAAACTGAATATGGAACAAGCAAAGCTTAATACTAAACGATATATATATTAGCTGTATAATACCAGTAGGCCAGCTCTAATAGTAATTTGGTGTGGCTTCGCCAAATTTGGTCCGCGGGCCAGAGTTTGACACCTATGCTTTAAAAGGCCCGATGCTGCAGTTTAGCTGGTGGGGCGTTTCATCAACCAAGATCATTGTTGTCATCGTCATGAAAAGAAACACAGTGTGTCTCTCTTAGATGACTGACAGCTGTATGCCTCTGGAGCTGTCAGCGTGGGTGCTTTGGTGTGTGCCTCGCTGATTTGATTAACGTATTGATGAATTTTCAACACAGGCTGATAATCAGTGCATGCGTCTGGGTGCTCTTGTCATGTACTGTAGGCTGCTGATTGTTTCACTGGGAAATAAAAACATATTACAGTAAGTCCCCGGCCTGTGAGCTTCCATTTTATCAAGTACACAGTGTTCATTCGACTTACTGCCTACCTAACACATTGTCGGAGAAGTGAGCTGCTCCTTCTTATTATGTATGTTGGAGACAGCCGATAACAGATAAGTATAACGGTGGCCTGCACAACAGTTCAGTGAATTAAGGAAGCGACAAAGCAGCTTTAGCTATATCTTAAGCAGCGCAAAAAGAAACATATTTCAGCATCTCACCGTCTCCCATCAAATGACCTATAACTGTTCTTACAAGCAGCATGCCGAGTCAGCACAAAGAGAAAGCGTCTCTGTCGTTACTTGTCTCCTTAGGCCATTTGCGGCAGTGGGCAGCTGATGTACTACATTAGTGAAGGATACTGTGTGTCTCAGGACTGTACTCATTTGCTTTTATGGTCTTCAGCTTTAATGTGGGCACTGGATTTTACTTTCTTTCTCCACTGTTGGCAGTAATCTTCTAATCCATCTTATCAGCATTAGAAGAGAGCGTTTTTCTGCCAACTGTCAGGACACCTTAGATTCACCCTATTTGGTCAAATAAAGTGTTAAGAGAGGACACTGGGAATTAATTTCTCTGCTCAGATGAAGGGACAAGTCAGACTTTTTTCTTTAACATTTCTTTCTTTTTTAAAAGCTGTAACATCTTCTTAAAAGAATCTTGAAAAAATTCTGAAATAAAAGAAGCCTTTTTGTCCCAGCCCAGACACATTTATGCAAATGGTACAATAACTGACTCAGAAACTCACCATTAGATGCTCATTGGATAACGACTTACTAACTTTTCCCCAATGAGGATATTCCAGATAATCTTTCTTCCTTACTCGTAGAATGACAATCATTTTCAGGGAAATGTTTATTAAGGTGACACCTAAAGTGACCTTCATGTAGCCTTCTATACCACCAGAAGCCTTTTTGCTTAGAGGAAGATTGCTCCCGGCTAAGCTAGCTTGGCACCTCCAAGTTAGCTTGGCCTGGACGCTCTTATACCGTCTGTGCTTTTGTCTGACTCATGCATATAGTTTAGCTGTTAATGAAATACTATGTGTGTAGTCAAGGACTCCTTTTACATAATCCTCAATTTAAAACAAATTAGATAAAAATAGAAAAAACAGTTGATATACCTGTAGTTTAGCTATTAGCACATCGTGTAAGTATTTTAAAGTGCATTCGTTTTAAAACAAGTCTCTTCAAGCTTTAAAGAAATGTGCTCCAAAGGCCCCTTTTTTAAACTAACTCAACCATTCACACCTATGGGCCATACTGAATCACCAATTAGCCTAACTGCAAACACACCCATCACCTTCTTGCTGTGAGGCAACAGTGCTAACCTCATGCTATATCGATATAAATACACTGAATACTAAGATAGGGAGAGTTGTATTTTTTTTCCCATTTTCCTTATTGCAAATTCAAATGATATACGCTCTGATGAAATGAAATCAGATAGATAATTCTTTACTGGTTAATGAAAGTGGACTTATGCTTTTAAGCCAGCTAAGCTGAGGACTGCTTGTTATGCACAAGCTGCACTTCTAAAAGGTGTTTCCCAGCACTGTTTACCTGTAATGATACGTCACTGTGTACGTCTTACTTTACAGTAATATTGCTTTTATAGTTTTTACAGTGCTTACAGGAACACTCACCCAATACCACACACATGGTGGTGTTATATTTCAAAGCGTTTAATTATGGGTTTCTTAATATGCTTGACTGTAAACACAGTCAGTGTTTGAGCACCTTTCGATTGATGGCAGCTCAAACTTGCCGTGTTTCAGCTCTCATAGCACTTTATAGCCTGTGTACTACGAGGTTGGTATCTAATGTTTGTAGTAAATTGGATGGTTCATGTTCTGAGCTTTAATTACAAGTGACAGGTAGTACTTTTAATATGGTATGAATGAACAGAGAGTCAGCAAGTCTAGTATGTACAGTACTGATCAGAAGTTATTTTGGACACATGGGTTTATAATTGTGATTTATTTAAGCACATTCCCAGGACTCAATGACTTGAAGCATACCTATTAGATCCTACCAATAAGAGATCCCAATAGATACCTAAGTCAAGAGACAATGGAAATTCAATATTAGTTTATATAACTGTATAATAGTAAGGCTTCTGGAGAAAGATAATGGGTTTCTGTGTTGTGTATCCAAAGGATGGATTCAAAAAAATTGTGCTACAGTAAACAAAACTGTGATAGATAATCACCCTTTCTTTTGAATAAATGGGCACCACAGCGATACACTACATTAAACTATAAGTATTAAATGTTATTGTTATGTCAAACATAATAAGGAGACTCTTCTTCTTTGTGTTTTAAAATATTGGCCATACAAAAGTGATGTTTAAAAATGAAAAACATAGTTGTGTTATAAAAGTTATTATTATTCAAATGTACTATAAAGGTAATGTGACAATGCTACTGCTGCCAATAAACTGATGTTTTCTACAATAGAACCTGGCTCACAGCTTTTCTTTTTAAGGTAGATAGAAGACAGAGAACATACAGCTGCACGCATCCATTTTTTACTGTGACATAATTCAATCACAGGGATGGTTGTCATATGTGCAACATTAACCTGACCACTGGTAATGAGAACTATATTCAGACCAGGGTCTCTATCTTTGTCTGCTATCCACACTGCAGTGGACTGAATGAGTCATGCAGTATCACTTCCATGGGAGCTAGTTTTAGAAATGTCATCATTTGTCTTACCTCTCAGTGTGGATTTGGTGTTATTTTGGCTCATTGGTCTTACACATCATATTGATTGGTTGTTTTCTTTTTTGACAGGTGATGAGTGGGATCATATCATGTCTGAAGTACAGGGAACAGTGGAGTTTTCTCTAGAGTTGCACAAGTTTCACAATGTGGATCTCTTTCAAAGGGGGTAAGAATTTTTCTTATATATATTTAATAGTATTTAAAAAGTGCACATATCCTGAATCATTTAATTTACTGGAAAATTTCTATTTCTGCTGCTAGTTAAATACTCTGCTGGTTAAATGCAACCATTGTTAGCTAATATCAAAATCTCTGTTTGTTTCATCATAGAACAATAACAATGCTATTTTTGACACAGAGCTTGTGTACGCAACTAATTAAAATTAGTTCAAACATTAGTTCAATTTGTTAGCACAATCTAAAGCTTTTGATGTGGCTAAAGTCCAAAAGCTATATCAAAACTGGCGCTAACTAGCTAGAGTGTTGTAGCTGCTAATTCTGCTATTGCTAGCCGATGCACAGGCCTAAGAAGAAATGTTTCCAGTAAAGTGTTGCAAAATGTCACATGCAGAGCACTGACAGTGCTGTTTGGAACAGTGTTCAAGAGAGGCAAATGAAAATGAAGCAGTGAGGCCCCCAGCAGACTGACTGTAATGCAAAGTCGTCTTCCTATTATTATATAATGTAGTATTATTAATGAAAAAGACAGATGTTACATCCAGTGCTTTACAAATAGGGAGTTTAAAAGGTTTTGTTAATGATAGAGGTAGTTCTTCTTTCTTGTTGCAGTTTTTATGATATTCCCAGACTAAAAAAGGGCCCTGTGTAGCCTGCTCTGTCTGCAGATTAAAACATGTCATTTGGCTCAGTGAAACACCAGCTTTATCAAAATGATTTTCCCTCTCCAAATGTGATGGGCTAAAGCTTTATCACGATAATCCCTTCAGTTGAGTGCACTAATATGTTTGTTTTTACTCGATGCCACGTTGCTCTGTGATATCAGAAGAGATCCGTTGTGAGCACGAAACAAAATCTGACCCCAGTGTAAAGATAAAGCCCTATGGACAGAGAATAGTTTAGTTACCAACATCTACACATCTTCCCACACTGAAATGTGCTTTCTTAAATCAATACTAATCCCTGTGCTAGACTAGTGGGCCACACAGCTGTCCACTGACTGCATTAGGAATACTGATTAAATCTGCATTTGATTTGCAAAGGATAAAATGGCGATAAGCAGCATTTACATTTTATACTGTAATAGGAAAAGTAAGTTTTAAAAACACAGGTGCATTTTCTTATTCAGTATTCTGTCCTTTCTGCAATTTAGCCTTTTAATAAAAACAATTCAGCTTGTTGAAAACTATTCATGGAACACTGCTATTTATACATCTCTGCCATAGCACATGAGTAAGAAGTGATCACTAAATTGACCTATTTTCTTTCCAAAAAACACCTTTTTGATTTTCTTTATTGTGACATCTTCTCTATCGAGCGCTGTCATTAACACACTGATGACAAAATCAAGTTCACAGCCATGCTTTGGTCTCAGCTTGCTAATGATGTGAAGGTTTTACCCAAATCTGCTTTGGGTCACAATGATTCAATGTAAATGATACATTTTTAACACAAAAAGACTGTTTATCATTTCAAATGAACCCTATTTGAGATATTTTCCAATACTTTTACCTAATTAATAACCCTCTGTCAATAATTCTTTAATAGTATAAGAATATTTGTGCAATCGATGGGCGACTTTGTGTAGCTTTAATGTTATTTTCTTATTAAGTTAATGGAAAGCACGTTGGAATCTGAAAACAAAGACTCTAATCAGTTTCAATAAACAGGATTACTGCAATACGTTGGTTTAAACAAGAGCTGCAAAGTTAGCCAAATTAGCCAAAGCTTTCTGTATTAGGCTCCAGGTGAATTTCACAATGCCAAAACTGCACATACCTTAAATCAGTTTCCCTGGATCTTCTTGTTAATAAAAAAATGTAGTTACAAAGATCTGTAACTGCATTTTTCACTTGTTGAAATTTCAGCAAGTCAAACTATTAGTGGCAAATATCTTAAATGAGTTTATCACATTAATATAAATACATGGTACAATGCACAGTTATGTTCCATACATTACCTCCAAACCATTTATTTAATTGTTTTAATTGTTAATTGTCCTAGCAACGTCTGCTCCAAGTGTTTAACTACAAAACAAGTGGGCCTGGTGAACACAGTAATATGAACAGACAATTTTATGCAATTTTTAAGTACCATTTTCTTCTCACTTCCACTATACTAACATGCAAACTGAATGTTAATTAGCCAGACATTAGCGTGGGCAGCATGATGGCGTGGTGTTTAGCACTGTTGCCTCATAGAAGAAGGGCCTGAGTTTGATTCCACCAAGTGTCCAGCGCCTTTCTGTGTGGAGTTTGTATGGATGGTTAGGAAGAGGCTAGAAAATTCGATATTTAACATCTTTTGAATTTAAGTGGCTTTAGTTGAAGAATAGTTTTACAAACAACTGCAAAGTTAAATGAAAGATGGGCTTAAGAACATTTCTGTCAAGAAAATATTTTGTGGGAATGGGAATTGAAAGCCAATACTAAGGACATAAAAAACTAAAACCTTTATTAAGGTCAAAGAGCACCAACGAGACAAAAATACAGACAAAGTACAAGGAATGCATGTCTGAAACAATAAAAGAGGAACTAACTAAACAGGGAAACACCTCACACAGAGACAGGACTTGACACAGGAGAGAAAGCCAAGGGTCTTATGGAGAAACTGTTATCAAAGCTAGAAACTAAAAGGAAACTAAGGGCACAGAATATATACCTATACTTATATAAATATATACCTGAGACAGAGAAACTCTTGAATCAAAAGAAACAAACCCTGAGAAACAATTCAACTGTAATACCAATAAAGTGGATCTAAAGCACTGGATAAATAATACTAAGGAAATGGATAAAGATAAAAAATAAAAATAAAACCAATAAACATTCAAAGAGTACAAACAGAGACAGTAAATCGAAAGTAATTTAAAATAAACATACAAAAAATTGTTAAAGCCTAAAGTTGTGTTGATACCTTTCACCTACTCACAGACTCCAGAGGGTGAAGTTAAGCAGTGCTGCTTCGTTAAGCGTGACTGTTCTGTTTTTATCCACCACCTCAGGTTCTACCAGATACGAGCAGGGCTGAAGGTCTCACCTCGAGTGCCCCACAGGGTCATAGCAACAACACAAGACAATGCAGGTAAGACAGACGATGTTTACTTCCTCACACTCTGAGAAACACACACATCAACTTTACCACTCGTTCTGGTGTGTGGAGGAACTCTTAATTTGCTGTGTTGTGTTCAGTAATCTGTTTGTGTAGTTTTGTTAAATAGATGGTGGAGCACATGTCTGAATACTTTAGTTTGACTCTGGGTACTAGACCATGGTTATTGTTTTTTTTTGCCTCATGTTTGGCCATTTTACTGGTGCTTTTTCATGGTCAATTTCCGTCACATTTTAATTCCTTCATTGTCCCTTTCTGGCCATTTGGTGTCTCTCAGCAGTTAGTTGGCATCACCCTTTAGTCATTGTGCTTTCATATATAGTGTTGTTCTCTGTGTGTAGTTTGTGACTACAAAGGTTGTTCTGTGTTGCTTCACCATTTTTCTCTTTTTGAATATTTTTACAACCATGTTTGGCTGTTTTGTGGTCATTTCTGATCGATCTTTTCATACAGTTTTGGATCTTTTTAAACTTGTTTGAATGACTTTCTAACAGTTAAAGGTAAATTGCATTGAGAAACAGCACACAGACTCCAAATTTACCTGCATTAATAAATTACCAGACATGATAAAATTAGACCAAATAAACCTTTGAGTTAACACACTTTGTTTTTTGAAAAAGATTGAATATTGAATATAGTTAATATTTCATGAAAAATATTAGCTAAAGCTTAATAAGATTCTGTACACTGCAGTCATTTCTACGTGGCCTGGCTGTGAACACCTGTAGTATTGTAGTACCAGAGTCTTTTAAGCTGATCAATTGAAACTCTTCAAATAAACAAAGAGTTTAAGTGAAGGTTTAGAACGCATCATAGCAAAAAACAGCACTAGTGAAGGTTACTAATGATCTCAGTAATGGTCTCAGATTTGAGTCAATTTGTAAAAAACACTTTACTTCAGCATCTGTCTGATAGATTCAAATTTGTCCCGGTAAACAAAGAGTTTTCCTCGCACACAAAATAAGTCATAAAAATCGATCTCAGCCCCGCCCATCGGGCAATCATATAGCCCGACGGGCGGGGCTGAGATAGATTCCGGTCGCCCGACCCGAGATATCTTGCGAGCCCTGCCCAGTGGTGACTAGTGAAACATGTAGCATTAGATTACATTTCAGTAACATGCAAGTAAGAAAAAGTAGATGTCACCCTTCAAATCAAGTCACTTAGATGTTTCTTGGTTTCACAATTCTTCTAAGATCTTCAAATCAGACATGTATAAATTGGATACAAAGGACAAGATTTGAACCTTGCAGGGATATAAGAGGTTAATCAAATCTCTAAACTAGTCTTCATTCATCTGCACATCTGTCTATGAGTGATCCTGAAAGAATAATTGATGCAGTTGTTCTAAACTTCTAAGCTGGCTGGAACATTCAAATTCTTCGTCCTCAAAGCACTCTGAAAAGCCTCTAAGTGACCCCAAATGCTGCAGCATGAATGATAGAAGGGACTAGAAGGACAGCTAATATTTCTCACATACCTCTTTATTTGCTCCTGTTAAATCCAGAATTGATCTTAAATGTATTCTTCTAGCATATAATTCAAGTTTCCAAAAGTAGAATGGGAGGTCCCTGTGAAGCTAGCTCCCAGTTTGGGTTCAGAAGACAGACGCCTTCTCTACTTTTATGATTAGGTCTCCAATTTTCCTGTTTAAAGCTTACTGTTGAGGCTGGTTCTGGAAATCCTGAACCATTAAGCTGCTGTAGGCTTCCTATGATGCATCGACCACTGTCACTCACATACTTTGACTCCCCTTGCATTTATATGCTGCTATTGCATGCCCTCCTTTTTCTCGTCTTTTGCCCCTTACTCTCTAGTCAGCTGAAGACCCCTGAGCCTGCCTGATGTCTCTTCCTATTAAAAGCAGTTTTTCTCCCTACCATTAGGGACTGTCTCAACATGTGGTCCTCTATCTTTACCTAAGAATTTAAACCACCTTAAATTGGCACCATATTAAAAAATTGAATATAAAATTTTGATGTCTATATTTAAAAAAGTATAAATTAAAGATGTGACTGTTTTCTTAACGTAGAGCTGTCAACAGATGACAGATGATAATTTTAATAATAGTAATAATAATAATAATAATAATAATAATAATACTAATAATAGTGACAATAGGAAAATAAAACAACCAACAATTTGACTGCTGAGTACTCAGATTTGTCTCCAAATGCACTGTAATTTCTCACTGCTATTGTGGATAAAAGACAGAAATTTACAAAAGGTTACAGTAAACAGTAAGTAGTCCCACCACTGTGCCAGCTATCCAGGATCTGTAGAGAGTGAGAGCGCTGTCTGGGAATTTTATGGCCCTGTCTTACCGATGTGATTTAGGATTTAAAAACTGAGTGACTCATCCTGCAGAATATCTGGCATCTAAAATAGCTTTGAAACATTTCAAACAATAACTCTTAAACGTTTAATAAAATTTTATTGGATTTCCAGTTATTGAGGGAAAGTCTTTAGTCTTGTAACAAGAAGGATTCAAGGCTGAAAAGGGCAAAGCCGGCTTAAAGCTGCACTGTGCTGCATAATAGAAAAACTCATCTTAAGGAGAATGTCCATGTATTGAAAAAGCTCTTTAAATTTCTAAAACACATTTGTTTCCTACTTAATTAGAAAAAAAAGTGTAAACAATCACCAAAAAATACACTGTAGTGAAAGTTTTGTGAACATTGAATGCTTCATTCCTATACAAATACACAATTACTTTCAGGTTCCTCAAAGATCATGAAATATTCTTCTTCTGTTGCGTCCATATTTGTATTCATAGGTTGTGACTGAAGGCTTCCAAACCTACCTAACTGTCAAAATGTGGATCTGTGGCGTTGCAGAAAGCTGTTTCACTGCCAATCCTGATTCTCAATATTGGCTATTTTTAGCCTATCATGACTGGAGCAGTGTGTGTATGTGTGCGTGTGTGTGTACACCAGCTGTACTTGTGACAGTGCAGCCTACTGTTTTCACTAGGATGTTTTAGATTGTGAGGGCATTTTGGTCTTTTGGAGCAGGATATTAGTCTCAGGCATGTAGCTGTTGTCAGTGTTCTCACTGCTATAGAGGACAGCACCACCAGCAACACCAAGCCGTCCATGCGTGCGTGATTGTAAAGATGATGTGTGAGTGTTTTCACCTAAAACACAGTGACAGGAGGCACGGGGTTTTTGATTAAGAAGAATTTCTTGCTCCCTCATTACTGCTGGTTCCAAGTAGCCACTATAATGTCAAGTTGAATAGAAATGAAGAATAGCGGTTTGTCTATTTTTAGGGCTGCTGAATCCTGGAGGATCAGCTTTTTTACATGTTGTAAAGAAAGAGGTAGATCATTTTCCAGACAGGGGAGGCTTCAGTTTTGTTACTTTAGCTCAGATTAGCTGACACAAATGTATTTAATAATGTAACTCATTTTTAGAGGTGCCTAATGGTGCTTACTATTCAGTCTTTTCACCTAAAAGCTGCTTAAGTATTGACAGTTTGTGTCTTGACAGAATGCTACCCGTTTACACAACTGTAGGCCCACACATTATCCCAAACTACAGGTGACTGTAGATGCTTGAGCTCATGATTTGTTTTAAACATGTAACTTTCCTCAAATTCACAAATTGCGTTTTTTATAAAATACTTCTTCATATACAGTAAGGAAAACTCCAGCATGCTAAGCTAGTCTAGTCTAAGCTAGTCTAAGGTCCCGCCATAGCATTTCAGTCAGGCTGATGTCTAGACTTTCACATTTGTGTTTGGTTTCATTATCTTGTTTCATAACCTAATTCGGGCCAAGCTTTAGTTGTCAGACAGATGGCGTCTCGTTGACTCTAGAATACTTTGATATATGCTCATGTTTGTGAGTTCATGGTTGACTCAAGGTTTCCAGATCCTGAGGCTGCAAAACAAGTTAAAATAATTATCCCTCCACCATCATGCTTGACAGCTGGCATGGGCTGTTTTGTTGATATACTGTGTTTAATGCAGCTTTGCAAAACCTAAGCCATTCAGTCCTGTTTTGTTTTTTAGAGAGAAGAGACTTTCTCTGGGCAATATTCTTTTATATAAGCAATATTTTATATATTTGTACTATCATGAGCTTTAACGTCTGACACTAACTGAGCTCTGTGGAGTCTGAAATGCAGCTCTTAGGTTTTTTGCAGTTTCTCTGAGAATTTTATGGTCTGATCTTGGGGTGTATTTGCTGGGTCATCCGCTCCGTGAACAATTTTTCCATTGTGTTAATGCTCACCTGAACGCTACAGAGCAGCAAACGGCCAAAACCTTTGCTTTAATAGTTGGCGTGACACTTTCTGATGATCAAATAATCAAATACATTTGATTAGCACTTGATATAGATTGGTATAGTGCATTTTTGATGCACTAATATCTAAGCTGCTGACTACACTGCAATGTTTCACCAGCCATTAACATATGTAGACAGCAAGAAACACTGCAGCTACGTATATTACAGTGAAGATCTTGCATGCATATTGTAATTGGAAGGCTGCGGCCCTCCCCTCCTCTGCAGCTCTTTCCACAAGGTCATGCACTGAGCCTGCATACCTCACAGACTGAATCATAAACATAAAGCTGCCATTCTGGCCACAGATAGAACAATTACATTCATCATACAATTCCCTTACTGTGTCCTCTTTGAAAGCGTGTGCTTGACATTTCAATTGTCTGTGCCCTTCAGAAAAAAAATGAATTACTTGTGAAGGATCGTGCCACACACTCAGCTGGAGGATTTAATGACTGTGATTCATGCGCAGTAAGATTAGGATTTTCAAGTCAGAATGTTAACTGGGAGAACTGGAGTGTTGTTTACGGTGCACCGGCTAAGATGCCCTTTCTTATTAATATCATGAGGAGCAAATCTGTGTGGCGAGTTCTGTGTGCTTTACTGATAGGCAGAACACGAACACACACACACACACACACACACACACACACACACACACACACACACACACACACACACACACACACACA